ACTCAATAGTCCCTGCAAGTTCACTCTGCATGGCTCCCAGACATTAGGACCGGAGGTCTTTGGAACCATTTTTCAGCTTCCCACAGAGAATATGTAAGGAAGGCCAATCAGTAGTACTTTTTTGGTGTACCTCAGAAATCCCCCAGTGTCTTGTCCTGATCTCAACCTGGCCCTTCCCACGAAAGTAACCACATCTTAGAAAAAAAAAAGGTGCCAGATATAAAGTCTTGATTAGAAATCAGCAGACTGAATTGTAGGCAGATGGCAATAGCAGCCACAGAAGATTTGAAGATTTTAATCTCTCTCCTAAATCTGTTCTTCTTGAAAGTGCTACTCCGAAGTTTATAGCCATCACTTCTTTTGTGTTCCATTATGGTTTTGTTACTAAGTGTGTATCCTTCATTGCTACACCTTAGTCTGGCTCATTTTCAAAAAATTCTTATGGATGGATTTTTGAGTCCCTGAATTTAAAATCTAGATCTACCGGTTCTTCCTTCACTTTCATTTTCTTTTGTTTAGTGAAGAACCCAGAGCATTTGACCTGTAGAGTTTCCATAGTCTAGACTTTGAAGATTGCAGCTCACTATGTTGCTTTGCCTTTCCGCTTTGTACAAACTGACACTTGGGTCTAAGACAGGATCAGACTGGGTCCTGTCTCCATGTCACCTGTAGGTGGCATGTTGTTCTCTGGGGATGCATCGTGTCTGGCTGTGTCTCTCTTGGTGACGCCAGCAGCTGTGGATAGTCATTCCCTAAATTTATTACTGAGATTACAAAATGGTGATTTGGAATTTTGTCTCTTTTTCTAATCAGTATGTGAGGTATTTAGAATAATACTTTCTCTTATTTCTTACTTGGTTACCAGTGATATGGCATGTATACAAAAGTATATAAATGCTTGAGTCCCTCTCCATATTTATCACTTTTCAGAATGCAATAATTAGTGCCCTATCTTTTTAATGTCGTTATAAAAACACATATTCAAACATATTTAATGGATTTCAATCGGTTGCAATTATAATCCTTTTCAAAGCTGAAATTATTTCATTTTTGTTCAGTGGGAACCCTGTCAGGTTGGCTTCTCGGAGCTTTCAGGATGGCAGAGTAGCAGCTGTGCAGATAGGTTCCATGGTATTTGGTGTAGATAGAACCTTCATGCGCGTTTTAAACACCTTGGCCAGGGCCTAACCAGATGACAGCCTGGGTGGTGGAGTCCAGAAGGGTTTGGGCATTCTTCTCAGGCCCCATCAGAGCTCTGACAAAGAAGCCTGAGCGTGTGTGTGTGTGTGTGTGTGTGTGTGGATGCTTTGTCACCTACTTGTGTTGTAAGTGTCCATAAGTTCTTAGTTTTGCCATCATTTCCCTGTTTCTCTTTAATATACAGGTGTGTAGATGTGTAAAGCCACCACGTCCACCTTGTCTTTTAGAAAGCAGACCTTACTCTGTCCCTTCTACCCTGATCTGTTTCGACAGTCGAATCAGCCCCACCCCTGCTGCTCTTCTTCCTGGAGACGATTTACAAACACCAAAGCACCAGCACGGGTCCCACGCACGGCACAGGCACCCCTGCATGTCAGTGTGTGTTACATACTAGCCTTGACCCTAAAATCACTGTATATTTCTAATACTCAATCCTAAAAGATTTACCACCATCAAGAAAGTATTGCCAGGAATGAGCTACAAGCGCTGAAGACAATTCCCTAGTAGGACTTGGGCATTCTGGAGCAGCTAGTCCCATGCCCACGATAATTATTTTTTTTTTGTCATGGAGGAGGGCAGTGTTTTATTCCAGGGAAGGTGAAAAAATATTTTCTTTTTTACTGGCCCTAAGACTCTGAATTTTGCAGCTATAGATATAAAGGATTTTTGCTTTCTTCCCAGAGTAAATACATGATCCAAACTATGATTCTGTTCATTAGATTAAAATAGCCAAAGTTATGGAAGGGTTCTGTTTTATCATTAGATGTTGAAGACCAATATATGGATGCCAGTATATGTAACATTTGCACTCTGCTTACTTTTTGAAATCTTGTGTCTTTTTAAATAACATTCATTTGTTTTATTGTCCAGTTTAGTAGTTCTCAACCTTAGCTTGACAGAATTGCCTTGATATTTTAAAAATACTGCTATCCTGGATCCAGCCCCAATGTTTTGATTTAATAGGTTTGGATGTGGGCCCAGGTCTCTAGGCCCTTCAGTAGCCCTGCCAGGGTCTTTAATCTGCAGCTCAACCCTGTCTAGTTAGTTCATAAAGCGATGATCTCCATTCTGAATCTTAGTTGGTTTCTATTAGCACAAATATTGGTAGTTTCCTTTGAAGCGTGGTTAAAAAGAAACCAACACTAACAACCAGAGCTAAATAATTAGATAAATTAATGCCAGTTTTGTTGAACTTGGCATCAACATGTAAATTTAGTCCAAAGAACAAAACGAATGAAAGCCATAGAGCCAGAACTTGAACTGGGACCCCTAATGGAGATTAATATTTTCTTCAGCAGTCTGCCAGCTGAATCATGGTCTAATTAAACAGTTCAGATTTAGTGAGTTTGCATTTAAAGTATTAGCAGATTTGAGAATGGGTAAAGCTAAAATGAGTTAGAATCTTTTCTGTAAATGGGAAGTTAAATTATCAGAGTAATTTGATTAAATCATTTTTAAATCTCTCAAGCTAAATCACAGCCTTTAAAGAATAGTTTGAAGTCTTAATTGCTGTTTGTGAGCATATCTCTCCGCTATTTGTTCTCGCCTCATTTCCTGTGACATCCTCTCATATATATCCTGCCAGGCAAGAGCAGTGGGGAAGGGATGCCGTGGGGCGGAGACTGGGCTCGCGGCCTTAGCCGACATCCAAGTGCTGGAAGGGGCACCGTAGGCAAAGTGGATCCCTGGTTGTTTCCAGCCAGGACCAAAGGACCGAATTTGGAGGCGGTAGGGGAAGTGTGAAGAAGACACTAGTTCTGTCCCTTGTGAAGGAGACACTGTACACAACTGGAAATGCCTTCATTAGGAGGGCACTGCCGCTGGAGAGGGTCACTGCAGTGACCACCGGAAATGCTGTGTTCACTGCAGTGCCCCAGCCGCCTTTCGTTCAAAGCAAAATGTAAGCCTGACCACTGCACTTAGCTCCAGTGCCACCTACCTGGTGGGGCCGTTTGGAAATGAAAAGAAGCTAAGGTTTCCCGAAATGGATGCTCAGTAGATGATACTTGTCATTTTTATTCTGTCTTTGGGTTTAGCTGGAAAATAGTTACCTTGTTTTACTTCTGTTTTGTCTTAGAGGAGGTCATGACCTTAGTCCCAGGTGAGTTGGATGAGTCTCCTCTCCATTCCCTTCAGTACAAGGTCTTAGGATATTGTCACCTAGGGACTCACCACTGGGGTTCCCGTGTGCGGGGTCCATTTCTCCTTCAGACCGCTCTGAGCTGAGAAAAGAAAAGAAAAAATCAAGGGGCCTTGTGGCCCTCATGTCTGTGGCTGTTTCCATGACTGACATTACCAATCCCGACACCTTCCAAAAATACGAGCACTTGTTTCCAACACAAGACCCTGTAGGGGGTGGGGGGACTCAGCGGAGGAAGGGAGCCAGGCAGGAGAGGAGTAAAGAGGGAAGCGGTCCTCACAGAAGGTCCTGGGAGACCAGCTCCACTGGAGGAACTCCGTGTTCCGCCTTTGCTGAGCAGGAGTGGAGTTTTGAGCAGTAAAGACTCTAAGTGTTATATGCCTGATGACTCAAAATGTTTTGAAGAACTGTATCATTGCCTAATGTAACTAGTGGCTAGTTCACAATAAAATGATTCAAAATGACAATGTCAAAGAAAAAACGATCAAATACACAAGTTTAAAAGCATGTTACTGCCTATATCCATCTATCTTTAAATCACTTTGCCCATTTCTTTTTTGTATATTTAGCCACTTAATTTTAATTACTTTTCCCCTTTTCTGTTTGTGAGATTCATGAATTGTAGGGAAAATTGGGCTAACTGCATATATCTTAGAGCTCAGCGATCTCAGAGAACTAGAATTATTAAACATGAAGAATCCTCCAAAGACTCCATTATGAGTAATTAACAGATAAACTGTCATCAGAATCAATAAAACGTGCTAACTGATTCAAACTTGTATATAATTAAGTGTCTTTTTCAGCGCTGGAGCTGTAACTTATTTTTTCCCACTTCTCACATTTCTCACAAGAATAATTGTGGCAACCTTGTTAACCCTTCCTTGCTCAGGTGAATGCGATTTTCAAATTAGTTTTTCGAGCCAAAGTGCACCTTCACAAATGTGAAAAAATATTTCCCGACTCAGTAATCTAAGGACAACATTTTGTTTTCAAGCAAGGGAATAGAGTATATCAGGGCGCGCTAAGCAACTGTTACCAGTACCTTAAAATTCGAAAAGGATAGAGAATGTGTTGTGCTTCAAGATAGTGCTGAATTCAATGCATTCACGTGGCTTTGTTAATTAAGATCTTAATCATCAAGTTTTCCCCCCTTTGGGAACAGGGGTGTTTTGCAGGCAAGATCGGGATCTTAAACTTTACCTCAGACAGCACTTAGCATAATACTTTTAATAGATGGCCTTCTGGAACTTTTGTTGAATGAATGAATACATGAATAAAGGCCATGCATAAGATAGCCATGATTATAATCTCCTAAAAGCAACTGTTCTCTTCCTCCGTCTGAGGAGGAAAATAATGGATCCTTTATAATAATTCCCACGTCCAAACCTAGAATTAGAAATCACTTTTGGGGGGGAAAATAGAGGTATTTTGAGAAAGGCGCATCTCTGAGCAAAGCGCCGCTGTGAGCTGAAGCAAGTTCAGAACCTGATACACAGCGTTTTGTCGCGCGCGTTCGCGTCTGCGGTGCATGGGGCTGCTGCCTGGTGGGTCCCCTTCTGCTGGGTCCCTTCTGGCGGTGGTGTCTGTAGGTTTGCGACTTGCAGTTCCAGGGGTGCTCTGCATAAGGGTGATCGCGTGTGTATTCTGCTTTGTCGCACAGACTCCATGCACATAGAGGACGTGGAAGCCGTGCAGAAGCTGCAGGACGTGCTCCACGAGGCCCTGCAGGATTACGAGGCGGGCCAGCACATGGAGGACCCGCGCCGGGCCGGCAAGATGCTCATGACGCTGCCGCTGCTCCGGCAGACCTCCACCAAGGCGGTGCAGCACTTCTACAACATCAAACTCGAAGGCAAGGTGCCCATGCACAAACTGTTTTTGGAAATGCTGGAGGCCAAGGTCTGACTAAGAGCTCCCGGGGCCTTCCCACTGTGCACTTTGAAAAAGGGAAAATTAACCCAAGAGTGATGGCGAAGAAGCTTAGAATTTAGTTAAGAACTAAACAGATATCAACACAGACTGCACTGATACTTGAGCAGCAAGACCATGAAGCAGCTTTCAGACTCCTCCGTAGGTTCCTGATAAATTCCTGTCTACTTTCTCATCTTCCTTCCCCCTCCCTCGTGCTCTCCCTTTTATTTTCTTTCTCTCCCTTCTCCGCCTCCCTCATTTTTGGGCTTCCTTAATTATTGGTTTTAGCTGTGGCATTTCCTTCCTTCCTTCCTCCCTTCCTCCCTTCCTTATTCCCTTCCTCCCTTCCTTATTCCCTTCCACGTCTTCTCGTACCCTCCTTCCGCTCTTATTTTCTCCCTTCATCCTACAGTTTAAATAACTCTAAATTCTAAGAGAGTGCTCCTTCCTCCCACCTCTCCTCCCCCCTGCTTTGCTTTTCTTTCCGCTTCCGTTCTTTTGCTTTTTTCCATCCCCCTTTCCTTTTCTCCCTTCCTTCTGCTGCTGAACTCTTAAAAGAGGTCTCTAAGTGAAGCAACATGGAAGCCAGCCCTGCCAAAGGATGGAGATCCATAATATGGATACCAGTGAGCTCATTATGAACTGGCCCGTCCCCGGTGACTGAGGAATCAAAGAGAGAAGCAACGTACCTAGAAGGACCGTGCGACACAGTGAATTGACTGAGTGCAGTATTAGATTTCTCGGGAGCAGCCTCTAATTAGACAACTTCAGCGACGATGTTGCATCGGCTGCTTCTTATCTTTGCTTTTCCATCTAGATCAGTTACAGCCATTTGATTCCTTAATTGTTTTCCCAAGTCTTCCAGGTGTTTGTTAGTTTAGCTACTATGTAACTTTTTCAGGGAATAGTTTAAGCTTTATTCATTCATGCAATACTAAAGAGGAATAAGAATACTGCAATTTTGCGCTGGCTTTGAACAATTACGAACAATATCGAAGGACAAATGAATCCTGAAGGAAGATTTTTAAAAAATGTTTTGTTTCTTCTTACAAATGGAGATTTTTTTGTACCAGCTTTACCACTTTTCAGCCATTTATTAATAAGAGAATTTAACTTACTCAAGCAATAATTGAAGGGAAGGTGCATATTATAACGGGTGCAATTTATGTTGTGTACCAGTCTGGTCCCAAACATCGATTTCTGTACCTGAGCTCCAGTTCACCCCCATCACTGACACCAAGGATTAGATTACACTTGCAGGGCCTCTGGCATCACTGCGTCCACCCCGCACGAGGGGTGGTGCGGCGTCGTATGATGGTGGGGGGCTCTTTTGTCGCGGGGGGCGGCCGTCTTCTTTCTTGCTGCTGTGGTGGTGGTAGGGAGGTGCTGCCGCTCGTCCGGGGTGCTGTGGTTGTTTTCTCTGGAGGTATGATGCGGTATTCTTGTCGTAGGCGGTAATGCGGCTGCTGGCAGTTTTTTAAAAAAAGATCATGAAGGACAGCAGATGCCTGACCAAATTCTAAAACCTGATCCATATGAGTTTATTCATTTAGGAATGTTTGTTTCAATTAATCTGCAGTTTTTACCAAGAGCTAAGCCAATGTATGTGCTTTTCAACCAGTATTGTTACAGCATGAAAGTCAGTCAGGGTCCAGACTGTTAAGAGGTGTAATCTAATGAAGAAATCAGTTAGATAACCCCGAAATCTACAGTCGCCTAATAACCAATGAAGAGAACCCCCCCCATCCAACGCTATACCAATGGACCAGTGTTAGTAGCTGCTCCCTGTACTGTGTGAACAGTCTTTATTCTATGTACACAGATGTAATTAACATTGTAATCCTAACAAACAAAAGAAATGTAGTTCAGCTCTTCAATGTTTCATGTTGCTATGCTTTTCTGAAGTTTATGTTGCATTCAGAGACTGTTGTCTTGTTCTTGTGGTGTGTGGATTCTTGTGGTGTGTGCTTTTAGACACAGGGTAGAATTAGAGACAATATTGGATGTACAATTCCTCAGGAGACTACAGTAGTATACTCTATTCCTTACCGGTAATAAGGTTCTTCCTAATAATAATTAAGACATTGAAACTCCAAACAAGTATTCATTATGAACAGATACACATCAAAGTCATAATAATATTTTCAAAACAAGGAATAATTTCTCTAATGGTTTATTATAGAATACCAATGTATAGCTTAGACATAAAATTTTGAATATTTTAAGAATATAGATAAGTCTAATTTTTAAATGCTGTACATATGGCTTTCACTCAGTCATCTCTCAGATGTTGTTATTAACTCGCTCTGTGTTGTTGCAAAACTTTTTGGTGCGAATTCTGTTTCCAAAACTATTGCTACTTTGTGTGCTTTAAACAAAATACCTTGGGTTGGAGTTTTAACCCAATGCTAGGAATACTGTGTATCTATCATTAGCTATATGGGACTGTATTGTAGATTGTGGTTTCTCAGTAGAGAAGTGACTGTAGTGTGATTCTAGATAAATCATCCTTAGCAATTCATTCAGATGGTCAATAACTTGAAATTTATAGCTGTGATAGGAGTTCAAAAATTGGCACATCCCTTTAAAAATAACAACAGAGAATACAACTCCTGGGAAGAAAAAATAAAAGGTGCTGATTCTATAAGATTATTTATATATGTAAGTGTTTAAAAAAGGTTATTTTTCAGAAAGTTTGTGCAGGATTTAAGTTGCTACTATTCAATTACACTAGATATAAGTAAAATATCTGCAATATATACATCGTCTTCACTGTATCACCTTAAAGTACATGGTACTTTAAGAAGTAACTGCAAACACAAGTGGAGATCTGTTAAAACAATGAGATGTAGTTTTTAGTGTGATGTCGACATTGCAAAAGAACAAGTATCTCACACATAGGAAAGGAAAAGAACAACCTTAAAGTGTAGATCTAATAAAACTGCACAGGCTTTAGGGTGAATACTCATCTTAACCCTCTCCTGAGGGAAGTTTTTTAAAGTTTCAAGCAAGACCACTTACTTAATGTGAAGTTTTGGAGAGTTATAAAGGTGTATGTTTTAGCCATATGATTTCTTCTTATTTTGCTTCTTTTAGGTTAGTTCTTATTTAAAGCAATATGATTGTGTGACCCCTCATAGGTACACCTGTGTTTCAATCAGATCAGGTGGTTGTATTTATTCCACTATTTTTCATTTAAATGATAACATAAAAGATATAAAAAATTTAAAACTGCTATTTTTCTTATAGAAGAGGAAATGGGTGTTGGTGATTGTATTTTAATTATTTAAGCGTCTCTGTTTACCTGCCTAGGAAAACATTTTATGGCAGTCTTATGTGGAAAGATCGAAAAAGGACAAAAAAAATTTAAACTTCTTGTAATAATCCAGGAGTTGCATTATAGCCAGTAGTAAAAATAATAATAATAATGATAATGATAAAACCATGTCTATAGCTGTAGATGGCTTCACATCTGTAAAGCAATCAATTGTATATTTTTGTGATGTGTACCATACTGTGTGTTCAGCAAATGTCTGTTTGTGTAAATGTATTTATTTTATATTGTATATATTGTTAAATGCAAAGGGAGATATGATTCTGTAACTCCAATCAGTTCAGATGTGTAACTCAAATTATTATGCCTTTCAGGGTGATGGTAGAGCAATATTAAACAAGCTTCCACTTTTGACTGCTCTGTTGTGGTGTGTTGCTTTTCCTGTGAAAGAATTCAATCCATAAACACTGCTCTTTGCTGCTTCAGTTCAAAGAGGGGCTCTGAGTACCTGTTCCCTAAAAATAAAGTAGGAGTTTAAATAAGAGCTATATAAAGGCTTGTCAGAATGAATTCTAGGGTGCCTTGAGACATTTTGCATATTTAAGAGTATGCAAAGTGTTCCGTGGCACATTAGAATTCATTCTGACAAGCCTTTATATAGCTCTTATTTAATCTTAAAGCATCTCCACATCATCCTGCATTACTCAAAATCATCGCCTCTATGTCACTGTCATAACACAAAACTTTCCCCCTATTTTAAGATCATATTAAAACCTGCGAGAGATACCCATTATTTCCCTCTATCAACAATTAAATCAGGCGCTGGGGCTGCGTGCGGTGCGGGCTGTCTGCCGGCTGCTGGCCCGGGCTCGCCACGGAAGGAAGGGAAGGAAGGAAGCAGCGGCCGCAGAGCTCGCACTGCAGCGCGGAGGAGGGGAGCTGCCCTGGAATCCAAGAGGGCTCAGCAGCGCTGCTGACAGCAATGGCTTCTCCTTGCCTGGGACACCGTGCGAGGTCGCAGCCCTTGCTGCTGGGGTCAGGCTGCAGCCCAGGACCCTGTGGAGCCATCGCCAAAGTGCTAATCTGTGCTTCCCTGGCTCCTCCGCCTGTCATTGTGTTCCCCCCTGTGCTTCTCACCCTTCAGAGGTGGCCGCTTCTCCAGGGACCGGAGCCAGGACACAAAGGGTCTCCGAGCCGAGTGGGCTTGGGAGCCGAGGCTCCCTGACCCACTCTGAGTCCGCCCGGCCCTCCAGAGAGCCCGGCCTCCCTTCTGCTTTAGTGTCCTCCGGTGGCAATAGCTCAGCAGAAGCTGACGTGCTTTAACTCGGATATTTTTCAGTACTTGGGTGGAATTGACACAATAGAAGATACAAAAACCTAAGAAGAAAAATCATACCTGTGATCTTCCAATGAGGTCTTCAATATTTTAAAATACATGTTAGTCCCATGATTTTTTAAATTTTTATTTTTTGAAGACCTAATTCGCTTTTATTAGCAATTCATGAGTCAGGTAGGGGTCACGTAAACCGTAGATGACTGTTTCACTGGCCTGGCAGAGCAGTTCTTTTTTTTTTTAATTAGTGCATGTTTGCGATGCATAATGATAGCATTCTTCCTGGGGAATTGGTACGTACACATGTGGCTTCTTAATCATGCTCCCCTTTTTGTGGCGATGGCAGGGTCCTGGAGGGCAGGGATAGACACATACTTTTAAGAGCCCAAGTATCTGAATTCTATCACCTTTTAAAAATTTTGAATTATTCCAGGAGAAACTTCCTGGTACTGACATTTTTCACAGTTGTGTCAGATATACAAGCAAATTAAAAAGTAGGATGTTGATGTTTTCATATGCTGTATTTTTAAATGTAGAAACAAGTCTTGCTGACAATGGGTTATATATTTGTTGTAAGGAATCGTTTTTATTTTTGCTAGTTGTTTGTGAGCCATTTCTTTTTCTTAAACCAGTGGTTCCCGACTCGTCTACATATTGGAATCATCAGGGAGTGTCAGAAATCCCTGCTGTCCCATCCACAGAGCCTGAAATTTCTCTGGTGGGATTTCTCTGGGATTTCGAGATGTGGCCTCGCTCTGGAATCTTTAAGAAAGGCAGATAGGGATGCCATTGCTCTACATTTTTGTACTTTTCTCAAGCCACGCATGTCCATAAAAGCAAAGACTTTAATACATCAGCTCTAATTTTTTCTTAGTTAAAAAAAAAAAGACGAAAAAAGTTACCTTTTATTAACTCACAAAAATGAAATATACTTTGGTTTGGCTTTCCATTCCCAACTGTCACCTCCAAAAGACATGGGGAACACATTTCATTTGTTGACTTTCAAGCACTATTTTTGATTATTTATCCAAAGAAAAATGAAAATGCCTGCTCAAAAAAGCTCACACTTTTTTTTTCCACCTGCACATTTGGCCCTCTGATGTGCTTTAAAATTAATTTCCATCTGGCTCAAAATCCCTGTTTTTCTGTACTCCAAAACAAAAAAGCAACAAAATTAGAAGATCTGATTTCTTGGTGAGTTTTCTCATCTATATTTTCCAAGCTGTTGGTTTAGGTAAAAGGTAGAAGGAGAGGTAGGAATGACATAGGATAGAGACAAGATATTTTGCCCTTGGGACTCTGCAAAAACTTCAAGTATACTTTGGTTATTTAAAAATTGAACTTGTGATTAATGTGGGAAAGAAAAGGGAGATCTGTATAAGGCTTTTGTCTACAATGGTTTACGGCGCGAATGGGCAATTCCATAGTGAACTAGGCAGGGAAGTGTTTAAGATGATGTGCCTGGATCTTTCAAATCTCTGAGTCTAGCTTCTTATGCCCCTTAGTAGTGTGGGGAAAAAACCAAAATGAAACAAGGAGCAGTATATTGATTGTCCACTGCATCTTATTATAAAACAAAATAGAAAAGAAAGGAATTTCAAAATATAATCCTCCTTTTCCAGGAGTGTTTGTCTTGCTCGCCATGAAGTTAAAGGTCTGAAATAATGTGCCCATCAGAGGCCCAATGTAGCATGTCCAT